CCCTGGTGTCCAGGGTGAAGCTCCCACTGCTGGCCAGCTCAGAGCACCTGTCTATCCCCTGCCTGCCGTCTCCCTCAACTGATCTCTTTCCTCCTTCACTTTTGCACTGACCCCGTCTGGGACCCTGGCCAACGGGCGTGCCCAGGCCCCGCGTCCGGAGACGAGTCCTTCAGTCCAGGACTGAAGGACTTCCGCTAGCTACGTCTCCCGCACATCCCTCACCCATGGGTGCAGGCCTCTCCTCTCCAGAGAAAACGGACCACAGAGGCAGAAGCCGAGCTCTCTGCTTCCGGGGAGCCCCAGCCCTTCCCTCCCTGGGTGGAAAGGGGGTTAAGAGCAGCCTGTGTGGGAGATCAGACCACCTCCTTCCCCCTAGGCTGAGCCAGGCTGGGGCAAGCACGCTGCCCTCCGGGGACCACTTTGTTGTCCACACATCACGGCTGAGAGGCCAGGCACTCACTCTGTTCCTGGGGAGCCTTAGCCTCCTGACCGGGAGGGCTTCTCCCCGAGGCAGGGCCCGCACCGAGCAGCCTGCCCTCTGTAGAGGACGCAGAGGCAGGGCTGCCAGCTCCCGTCTGAGACCTCATGCCCCTTGGTGTGTTGCTCTTGGGGATGCAGCCCTTGGGGACATGATTGTGGCTGAGGCCGCTGTGGTCCTGGACTGAAGGACTCGTCTCCGGACGCGGGGCCTGGGCACGCCCGTTGGCCAGGGTCCCACTCTGGGTGGCGGGGCTCCCTTGGGGGCCACCAGAGCTCTGGAAGGCAGTCTCTGCCAGGGGGTCTGTGGGCTGCAGGGCTGGCACTGCCTCCGTCCCCACTCTCACGACGGGTCTTCAGGGGCCCGGGGGCGGGGGTGCAGTGGGGTGTGAGCACTGCGGTCTGATGAGGCTGTCGGTCCTGCAGGTTTTCCAGCAGGTTGACTTCAACAGGAAGCCGGGACGGATGAGTTCCAGGCCCATCAACTTCGCGGTGATCCTGAAGCTGTCGAAGGTCAACCTGCAGGAGAAGGCTTACCGGGTGAGGCTGGCCGCCAGGGCGGGCTCAGGGGGGAGGGCCCGGGCGGGGTCACCGCAGGGTGTCAGCGCACGGCGGTCAGCATCCCGATGACCGTGGAGGCAAGAGGAGTGAGCAGGAGGGGCTTGCTGCTCTGTGCAGTTTCTGCCTGGACTCCTGTTGGCCCCCAGGGTCAGGGAGCAGACACCCGTGGGCCCAGCCCCATGAGCCTGAGTGAAGCTGTGGGTCCCCACCCCTCCTGCCCTGGAGAGGGGCTGGCATCAGCCTGGGAGGAAGGAGCCTGAGCTCTTCTCGCGTTGCTTCTCAGGACGGGCTGGTGGAGCAGCTGTACGACCTCACCCTCGAGTACCTGCACAGCCAGGCCCACAGCATCGCCTTCCCGGAGCTGGC